CTCCCGCCACGCTATTATGTAAGCAGACTAAATACATCCTTGCAGTCCTTGTACAGCTCTTGGTGAAGGCTGGCACCAAGGCAGGTAGTTCAGGAACGCCGGGACTTAGGGAAGAGAATTTCTGGAATAACGGAAAAGAAGCAGGTGAGAAGTAAGATAGCAGGGTAAAAAAAGTGGGTCACTTACACAGGTTTCCAGGCTTGGACATTTTAAGTTTTTGAAGCAAACACAAATTCTTAGGATCTTATTTGGGAAACGAAGCAGCGTAAAGGTCGGTTTAGAAGCACCCACGCTACACTCACACAGAAATGACATTGGAAGTACAGCAAGGCTAAGGGCAGGAATATATTATTGGGTCCTCACCCCCTCCTATCATATTTACACCCATCTAATAAAAAGGATTTTTTTTCTGGAGGCGGGTTCATAACCCTGGCCACAGCAAGAGAAAACAACAGCATTAAAAAAAAAAATTAAACAAATCAATAGCATTGCCAATACTCTAACGTCCTATTGATGTCTCGTTCTTGTCCGAACCATCAGCTCCTAGACCTTTTCAAAACGTTTAGGGATTATATTTACTTTCCACATTAATTTAGGAAAAAATAAAGCTGTGACATTGTCAGCTGCACTTCTGATTTACAGAAAAGCTAACATTTCCAAATGCATGATATCTTATTTTCAAAGCCATTTTTTCCTTATCCCATCTCTTCTTTTTACAGACAGTTGCCTCCACCCATAACAAGTCTGAAGACAAAATTCATCACCGCAGTTCGCGCTAGTTTAAGTGAGGGCGGAAATACAATATAAATTTTTTGGGTGGTCAGAAAATAAATTTTCTTTTGGGCACTACTACATATACAGATATATATTGCTTTCCCATTCATGCAATTTACCAGTGCACAAAACATATCAAAGATTTTGGGGTCCTTAAATATGCAAAACATAGCAAAGAGATTTGGGGGAATTAGAGGACAGATGGTTTCTGGTATGCTGGGAATATAACTGAACAGGAGCCTCTGGAGGTGGAGATATAAATGGGAAACAGCACAAGTTCTCTGGAACGTAGGAGGTGCTGGTGGGTCCTCTGAGAGACTAGCACCACCGTCCTCATTTTTAAACAATCCTGAGCGCAACAAAACAAATTCATCTGCTAGAGCAGGAAAAGGAGCTCAAACTATCATTGCCAGCAGTTTCTCAACCCAGCCTTCTCCCTAAAAAATGAAAAGCCAAATCCAGTCACAAACCCCATTTGATTGATGCATGAAGATTAGATCGCAATCATTTTTTTTTTTATTTTATGATACTCTTTCCATAGAGACCAGTCTACAGTCCCACTACGTTCCCATTTAGCAAGAGACAAGTGCATCCTTGAGGAGTTTGCTGTCTCTTTTTCAAGACGGAGAAGGACAAGAAAACAAGATAACAAAACTGTTATGTGGATATGTAATATTCACAGCACAGTGTGGATACCCAAGCTGGTGGCCACCAAGGCCCTATGCATTAGCAGGACGTTGCTCTCAGAGGCCCAGGAACCCCAAGATCTGGGTTTCTATCTAATGCATGACCCAAAGACCTGCCTTTCTTCCTCTCTCTGTTGAGGCATCTAAACACACCCACATTTTCCTCTTTAAAAATGGGAAAGAGCAGCAGAGAGCTGCCTGTGGAGGCAGCAACCAGTAGGTCTCATCTGAGAACCAGCCCTTGGTGAGTTCAGACAAGGAGGCAGGAAGGCTTTCCACATCCTCACGGCTTTTCCAATACGCATGCCTTAAAATAATTAAAACCCGTTGCCAAGAAATCATCTCCTCAAACCGGCTGTCACTGTGCGCCACCATTGCCCACTGTCAACTGAAAGTATTTTTCTCTTTGGCTTAATGAAATCACAAAACCTCTCGACAGCAAAACAAACGCCTGCGTGGATTTACGAATCCGCTCAAGAAGATGATGAACTCTAAAGCGCGGGAGTGGAAAAAAATAACAAAAAAACCCAAGGCATGTCATTATTTCCAAAGATAGATTACACGGATAAACGAGCAAACTACGGTTCTTCGGAAACAAAACTTTGTTTTAGCAACCCCTTTTTCAACCTCACCAATATACGTCTCAGTCACATCGAACTAGCTACCTCTGGTGGTAACTGCATTAAAAACACTCCTTTCAAAGACGCTCCCTTCAACACATACTATCATTTAGAAAAGGAAGAGCAAGACCAGGTAAAAAAATAAAAGGAATAGGACTAAGGAAAAAATTTAAAGTCCTAGTAGGCAAGCAAGGCGTCAAACGGCTCCTCCTTCACGTTGGCCTGTGGGAAACAGAATTTCTGAAGGAGAAAGGGCCTTTTCTTATGTTCCTAAAGATACGCTTCTCTGCCCTCTTTTCTTCCCCCGTCATTCTCCCCAAGACTGTCCGCCAGGCTGCAGACTGAACCCCGTTTTCCATCTAACCAAATGGCTGGATGGCCACTCTACACACAGCTACATGGGTAGAGGGTGCCGTATTGTACGTATTGTGTATATTCTTGTGCAACAACTTAGCCGTGCAAAACAGGGCTTATCGAGGGAGCACAACAGAGCGCGTAATTATAAGCTGCTTTCACTAAAATGTACATTAGCCGCAAAGTCGCATGGACTTATTTCCCCGGCTTTCCTTTGCCTATTTAAATGAATTCTGTCATCTCCCTGTTGCCAGAAATAATTGCTGTAGATGGTTTTATAGCTTTTTGCCAATTAAAAAAGATCACAATAAAATAACTGACTGCGAATAACATTTCTGAGTTATATATCGTTACACTGTAAATTACACATCTGCTATCTCCAGTGCAATTAGACAGGAAGGTAAGAGAACCATGTAATACTTGGGAGCCCTAAGTGTTCCTGTAAGATAATGCGGCTGATAATTTCATGACTTGTTTTGTTCCTGTCAGTGTGGAATGGGATACTGTGAAATAATGAGTGCCATCTGGTACAAGCGAGAAAAAGGGTATAATGTATATCATCGCTGGATTTCCATGTCAGTTCAAACGTTTCTATGAGAGCATATGAGATACTTGGGATCTGCACTCCTGCTGTGCAGCAATATGCAGAACGAAAACTGCAACTATTACTTTATATTGTCAGAAAAAACGTCTTTGAGTTGTTACTGCCTCCTACACGTCAGGAACTGCAACATTACATTCCGTTTTTTACTTTAACACATTTGCTACTGAGCATGTCTTACCAGGATTTAACGAAGCCATGGCTAAACAAATCCTAGAAAAGTTTTGAAAAATTATTCAAAGACGAAAAAGAAAATAGGTTAAAAATTTCCTCACGGTTATCTTCAACTGTCAGCCGCAAGCGTATTTTACACACATACTAGAAACATCCTGAAGGTTTACCATGACTGCTGAGCAACGATATCCTAGAAGATACTCACGTGCTAGTAATTTATCGAGTTGCTAGATGCTTTACAATAGCGTGTTTTCACACTACTAAATTAAAATCTAGCTACAGAATAACTGAACTTACTAGAAACTGGATGAATAGTACTTCAGATATGCTGCCTTTAAACTAAAAAAAGGCTACGCTTTTGGGAATACGCCACCAATTATTGTTACGTTTCAGTTTAATTTCAGAAGAGCAAAGTTATTATATATGGAATATTTAAATATATGCAGATTAAGTACTTACTGCAAATTAAACAAGTTCAGTCTGCGCTGGGAGAACCACATTTGAAAGGCTGAGGAATTCTGGTCGTTGGGGCATTGTGCATTACTAGAACTGTTTAGGGATGATGCAAGGTATGAAATTCCTTTTTATTTCCCATATCTGCTCTTCCTCAAAAGATAATTTCTTGGGCACGCTGTTGCCTGCTCTCAGTACTGGACTGGGCATCTCAAGGTATTTAGTGCTTCTCTTAACACACCTGCTCTCAGGATCAAGTTTCCATGACAAGTCGTGCCCTTGATTAAAAAAAAAAAAAAAAAAAGTGATTCTAACTTATGTTTGTGGGGAAAAAACTTAAAAATGTAGCTCACTTCTTCCTTAGTATTAAAAAAAAGTAACTAAAACAAGGATACTTATTTTAATAACCACAGTATGTTAATATCTACGGATTTTCAGAGGCAAGACTTAAGAGTTTTGTGTGCTCGAGCAATCGTGCTGGACTCCCTGGCTGCCAGAAGTAGCACAAAAGTTGGGCTCCAAACATTTTGGCTTCTTCTTTCTGGAAGAACACCGATTTATGAGTGACTGAACATATTATCATGTATTATCACATACTATCAAGGAGATGTCCCATAGCTCATATGCAGAGAGAAGTACTCAGAATGGGACCAAGTGTTTGTCCTTTAAGATTAATGGGTGCCCCAGATTCCTGCT